TGGGGGGGGGGGGGGGGGGGGGGCCTGCCTGCAGGGCAGCAGAGATCAAAGCCGAGCAGACACAGCAGGGCAGGCACTGTGGGATACTGGCAGAAGCCAGTGCTGTCCACAGACCAGAGTCCACACTGGCTCTGTCAACAGCAAAGGCAAGGGAAAAGAAAAAATCTGAGGCTATGTCTACACTACAAGGTTTTTGCGTAAAAACCAGTGGAGTGTCCACACCTCAAGCACGTTTTTGTGCAAGTACATCAAAAGAACAGAAGAGTTTCTGCAGTGTAGGTAGTCCTTTTTCTATGAGGAATAACTCCCTTTTGCACAAGAGTTCTTGTGCAAAAAAGCGTGTGGGGACGGGCAACAGGGTTTTTGCACAAAAAAGGTGCTCTGGTGGCTATTCTGTGAATAGCAATCAGCGCTTTCTTTCAAGAGAGTGTCCATGCCGTCTGGGATGCGCTTTTGCAGTGCGGACATAGCCTCAGAGAGGTGGAAGAGTTTCTCCGGACTGAAGTCTCATTGCAGCGTGTATGCTCTCACTGTTTTGTTGCCAAAAGGCAGGTTATGGCGACAGAACTTTGTAGTGTGGACAAAACACCAAAGAGCCCAGAAATTACTTGAAAACAAATCTATCCCTCTGTAAATAATTGAATTCTGTTACAAAAAAGGTAGAATGAGCAGTGAGACTAAAATGCATTCAACTCTCTGAAACACTGGCAGACTGAGGATGTTAAAGCAATATTGTGGCTAGTCACCATTTTCTATCTGGTTAAATGGATACAATGGCCATCAGGAGATCAATATTTTCCTCTGTTACCATCACCTGAGATTATTAACCAATGGTTACCTTAAAATCTCTCATTGTCATTGTCTCATCTATGCTGCTTGGGTCTTTATTTCTCTCATCTGGGACGGTGAAAGTAGCAAGGCAAGTTTCACTTTGGGACACTGCACTAACCAACAGGGGACACTGACGTTTCATATGTTTTTAAAAAGAAAACATGAAAATATTGCTTGTGTTTATGGCCCCTTCACTTCCCAGCTAGGTGTACAAAATTCCTGAGCTGAGTCCCAGCCCCGCTAGACAGAACTCGCCTAGATTTGGTCAGAGCTATGCATATGCCAATCTAATGTAAACTATGTCGTACAAAATAACCAATAAGCTTTTATATCTTGAAAAAGTTTCAGCAGACAAAAGCATTAACCCAGCAAGATATGTGCTGTGCTGCTTCCATGCTGTGTGTTTAGACTCTCTCCTTTCTCAAGTCAGCCCAGAACCAGTACCATCATTCTTTATAGCAGTGATATGGCTGTGGTCACCAGAGGGTTAAACTGCTTTAATCATCCACACAGAGTCTACGAGCATCAAACCTGGGGGGTGTCCTGAGGAACTCCCCACTGAATCCACATTACACAACTCTTGTCCTGTCTCCCTACCATCAAGATTTGGTATTTCCCAAGAGGAAGGGTTCTGCTTGAGGGAGGGGACTAGAGAAAAAGTAGAGTTTGCCAGCTGAAACATTAACTCCGGAGTTTCCCAGAAGCTGGAGTCAGAGCTAGTGTGTTTTAACAACCAGCATGTGATACACTGCTTTAACACAGCCAGTGCTTCTCAGATGCGCTCTCAGCTAGTTACCATGCTACAGACCCTGCCAGATAGGATATTTGATCTTAATAGGCTCAAATTCCTGACCTTTAAACTTCAAATACAGGCTGTAAAGGAGCAAAATGTCTCAGTACTGTCATGCAAGTGTGCTTTGACAGCATGCCTTCTGGAGAGATCCCATACACGCTTCACTAGATGTTCCTTTTCCCCACAGACAGGCAGAAAAGCGTGCACATTTCCAGCTAATCTACACAATGTGCAGACACCTGAGTAACAGCATCTTAGCAGCCAGAGATACCCGCCTCTCCTGCACAGGGCATCCTCAGGTCACGATCCATCTTACTTTTATTAGCCTGAACACAAGACACAAGACCCAAAGGTCCTACAATGGGGCCACAATCATGGCTGATTAGAGAAAGCAGACAACACATTACGCCAGACTCTCAATTCTGGTGCGTCCCCCTGGGGACATTTAAACAAACCCCCAACACAAGGTTTCTGAAGAGTTTTTGCAAATCAAGCATGAAATTTGACCACATAAGAAAATGTCGACGCTTCCAGTTATTTACAGACAACACGGTACACCTTGCTTCACTACCAAGGGGTTTCTTGGACACGTCCCAGTAAGAGACCGGACTGTGACTTCAAGCAATGGAGACAAGAAGCCACAAGATGAAAGGGCTCCTAGTTAAGAATCCAACACACAGATCCCAAGAAGCACCCTCCATGATGCCGCCAACCCTTGTGCCCATGTGCATCACTGGAAGTTCAGGTTTTACATACAGAGTTGACTCTGAAATAAGGGGTTAGTTTCACACCAGCCAAAAGGGAAGGAACGTTAGGTATGCAAGTGATGATTTGCGGGGTACTGTATATAGGAGAATAGCCTTCCCCTATGGATCTGAGGCAGCAGCATGTAGCTGAGGTATCATTAAAGGGCTAACTTTACCTCTCAACTGTAGCTGGAGGAGAAAAATTGATAATTCTGTTACCAGCCGCTATCTATGTAGAGTTCACGTAAGGGCTCTGAGCTCCCCAGGTCAGTTATACACCACCTGTGTGCTACCAACTGCTCTTCCTAGAGAAACCAGACAAGCAGGGACTGCACTTTGCTTTGGGATCACTGGCACAGGCAGTGACCCTTAGTGCAGCGTTAGACTGACTAGTTCTAGCGCCCAGATCTCCATCTTGAGACAGCTTTTTGAGAGTGTCTGAACTGAATCAACCCTGAACAACACTTTTCAGAGACTTGTGCCAGGCCTTCGATTCCAGGCCCCCTGTAAGTGTCCAGGAGCTGACCGAGCATCCCTAAGAAAACAGTGTCATTGATGGAGGAATTCTACCACGGAACGGAAAGCTGCACTCGAGTCAATGGCAGATACATGGCTCCGTTTCCTAGTCCCACAGTAGCTTAGCAAAGTTGCATTCGGTCACAATTGTTGTTCGGGATTGGCACTGACTGGTTGATGGATTAGCTTTAGGAGGCAGCTGTGAGTAAGGTTGATCTGAACCCCACTGAGCTCCAAGAGCTTGAATACAGTGATGACACTGTCTTGTTGGCTCAGTTTGGTGGATTTCTATAGCTATTGGCTGATCTGGCCAGGCAAGAAGCAGCATGCATTGGTCTGGTTATTAACCCAGATAAAATTATGTCCCTGGTCATTCCCACGAAACAACCTCCCCCTCCAGAGTAAGCTGGTTGTAATAGTAGCCTGTCTGGAGGAGGCACTGAAAAGATGGGACCTGTCAGATAATTGGGCAGCATCACAGACAGTGCCAGGGGATGCTAGAAAGATCTGGTCATTTGTAAAGCAGGTGGTGATGGCACATTTGGCTATCGTAAATTGAGCTTGCTATGAAATTGTGGATCTGTAGAGAAATATGTTGCGTGAAAGTTAAACATGGGTTCTGAGGGAAGCTAAAGACCGTTGGAATGATATTTTCAATTCTCATCTTCATCAGCTGTTCTGTATCCAAGAGCAGGACAAGACCGAAACAAAGACATTTAAATCTGAGCCAAACAACCAAGTTCTTCAGCACTGATTTGTTTTCAGCAGCTTTCTTGATATGAACATATTATTTGCATGAAAGACCAACTAAATTCTGAAGCAATGTTGTTACATAACCAGTGATCATGTTGGTGCCCAAAACTTTGATGGTGACCCAAGTGATGGACCTAAACCGAACCCCCAGCCAGACCACTGGAAGGGCCTAGCCAGAGATCGACCCAGGAGGCACCTGCTCTGCAAGGAGGCCACGTCCCTTTGCGATTCCCCATGAAGATGATGGGCTTTGAAACATGCTACTTGAGCTCATCTGGACACAGAGGCCAATACCAATGGAACGCTGGCTAATGAAGGGCCCAACATATTCTCCGTTACATACAACAGCTTTGCTATTACAACACTTCCTTGTAAGGGTTAGCAACATCTCCATGATTTGTGCAAGGATTCACTCAGACTCTGCTGGGGGTGGAACGAGCACCGAAATCCCATCAGCAAACCAAGAAAACTTCTGTGCGCTGTTCACTGAATTAATTTCCTTCCTCATTCTGCAAACCCCTGGCTACAGATGATTCTGAAGTCAGAAATAATCAGGAGCCAGAGCCGTTTTCTGTGTTATATTTTTTCTGCTAGATTCTCACCCACCTTGGGAGGGTTCTGCATGAACTGCAGTCTGGAGCAAACACTACACATTGTGCAAGCCAGTAAGAAACCCAGGATTCCTCTCTCTTGGAGTGTGGCCCCCAGGTACTCTTCCCAAAGATTCATTCGACAGAGGCTGTATTGGAAGTTTGGTGATTAGGAGACTGGCCAATAGTTTTAAAACAGAACTGAAAATTCTGACACATCTAAGCAACTAACAGTCACAAAAACTGGCATAATTCACTGCTGCGGTTGCCTGTCAAGTAGCTGCCCACATATATTTCCAGCCAACATTCACAAGAGCAGCTGATTAGTTTGGTCCTATCTGGAGACGAAGGAAGCCCTGGGCACAGTGACAGAGCTAGATGGAATTTACATGAATCTACCCAGTAAATCAAAACAGAAAACCAATCCATTGCTTTGCACAGTCTTTAGACACGGAAAGCCCCTTCATATGCCTACTGGAGCTTCAGGCCAACAAGTTTCTCTAGATGAAGAGGCAGAGTTCAGTCATGGAAATTAATTGAGCACGTGCGTTTCTCAAAGACACGACCATTTACAAGTGCCCCAGCTGCCAAGGGAACTGGAATCCTTGGTAATTCCCCTCAGTCTGACACTGGAAAAACGCTCTGAAGCTCCTTAGCAAACAGGCACTTAATTAACAAAGATCTCTCCTTTTTATTACAGATCAATAGAGGGTTGGAGTCAGTGGCATGACATAAGGGGTGTGCTGTGAGTTGGCCGTGCAGGGCACAGAGCAGATACCAGTCTGGATCAGGTGGCAGAGTATCAAGAAAGAATGGAAAAACCATTTCTGACTTTACCTGTCAGTCAGTGATTAGTGACATTTCTCAAATAGCCCTGCCAGAAACAAACATCACTTCTAGCATCTACTCTAGAGGTTAAAATGTTGTCATCTTTTTCACAGCATTTGGTGTCTAAAGTTCACTTTTCTTGTGACCAGTTTTCTGTTTTAACCTATCCAGGCGGGGAGGGGAGGGGGAAGAAATCCCAGTGCATCAACAGATGGAGCTCTCTCTGTTCAGTTAGCCAAGCAAGGAGGTAGATGTTCACAGACGGTCTCTTCAGATGGAGCCCAGAAAAGAACCTTATACTGCTTGGCTGGCACCAAGGTACTGGCAGGGCATCATCATGGGACGCTTTAGCGTGGCATCAAGACTTGTCCTCCAGCTACATCTGAACCAGGTGTTCTTAGTGGCTAAAAGAGAAAAGCATCTTTGATTAGCTTTTACACTAGTTCATGGTGCACCCACATTACTCAGGACAGTACTCTCTGAACAGCAGTTGGAAAGATTCTAACCCTCCATTGGTCCTTTGTTTGAATTATGGCCGGTTTTGTTTGAGCTGCCCAAGAATAGCACCTGGTTCTTCCTGTTGGCTGTGACGGTGCAGTTAAACCTCCTCCCCTGCCCCGCCCCGCCCGAGCTGTGCTTCCCAGGTTAGCTGTGGAGAAGCAGGTCACAAACAAGTGCTAATCCCAGAGCTGTGAGGATCATAAGTGGCATTGGCGTGAGAATAAGGAAGTATGAAGCTTCTAGATTAAACCGTGTTTCCCAAAGGACAGAGGCAGCTAGCAAGTCGACATCCAGACCAGAACTGATAGTTCAACTAATCCACAAGACACCAACCAACCGGTTCTACAATATAACAAAGGCTGAGGCAACTGGTCCAGTCTTATCTACTTTTCCCAAGACTTATAGATTAAATTATATGAATGAAGGGAAAGATCACAGCTCACCTCATCACATCACAACACATGAAAATCCCATGCAGCCTTGATTCCCATCTTCACTGCTGTTGAGCTTTTTCATCCGGTACTGGCGGATCTCTCTCACCAATGTGTAAAAAGCATCTTCAACACCCTGAATGCAAAGGTTCCTTGTCAGACAGTCTCTCCCCCACGGGCCTGGGCATTTCTCTGGACTCAAATCACCATTTTACTGTTCCAAAGGGTTCTTTTGACACACTAACCCAAAATGCATGCTTCTCTCCAGGGCAGCTCCCAGCCCACTCGGAGCCATGAGGATCGGGGCCAATTTACACTGCAATTCATACACTATACACTCATATTTCCCACAAGTCAATTCTTGACTGAGAATTCTCCCTTGGAGGAAATCATAAGCAAGCAGCCAGAGCAGCAGTCTTCCTAAGATGGAGGCAATGGCCAATTGTAGCTAGAAGAGGAGGTTCCCAAAGATAATGCCCTCAGTAGGAAATGGGGTTATTTCTTGGCAAATTGCTTCCAGGTTCAAATTTCATTTTCAGGCTACTTCATAGTAACTTACTGTCCCTTTCCAGGTTCGTTCTGCAAATTGACACGTCTGGAGCAATGACGTGGGGGAGCCCAATGAACAGAGAGCAACAGGCAGAGAACAGTCTCTATAGAAACGCAACACTCCAAGGACATGCCACTGACTTAGCTTCAACACTGGCCTTGGGTAGAGCCAAAGAAAACTTGGCAGCTTTGGGACTAAATCCCAGAGGAACAGCATTGGCTTTTGCTGCAGGTTACTGGAAAGAGGGATGGCCTAACTCTGATCTGGTTGGTAAAGACGTGGCATTTTTAGAACCCAGTTATGGGACCATCCAGAGGAAAGTCAATCAGTGTCACCGCACACTCAGGTTGCTCTCAAAAGGTAAAAATGGGAAAAGGTTTTACTCTGTCTCCACCCCAGGCCATCAGCACCATGAAAGAGCCGTGTCACTACCATATTTATAGCGGCAAGTAGAGAAATCACAATGGAAGAATGGAAGAAGCTTGTTACCTGTCTTGTTTTGGCTGATGTCTCAATGAAGGGGATCCCATAGCTCTTGGCTAGTTCTTGCGCCTGTTTTGTATCCACTGTCCTTGTGGGCAAGTCACACTTGTTTCCCACTAGCACCATTGGCACATCATCTGAATCTTTCACTCTCTTAATCTGTTCTCTGGGAAAACAACACATTAAAAACCAGCTTTTCTTATACAAAAACTGAGTTTTAAACTGACACTTTATTACAAAGTAGACATTAGGGCTGGAAAGGCCCTCACAGAGCTTAGTCCCTAATCCACTCTCCTTACCCCACCAGCAGTGTTTCCTCTCAGATTTCCAACCGTGAGCGGAGAGTTGTGGCTTGTGCGCCAATACTGAGGTTGTGTGTGCTGGCTTGGATGTGTGCCACCGTGGCACCCAATTTATTAATACACATGTTCCCAGTTGCTGGAGCAGACCCCACCTGGCCCTGCAGCATGTCCCATTCCCGGCTGCTGGAGCAGACACCGAGCCCGCCATGCGGCATGTCCCGTTCCCAGCCCAGCCACCAGAACAGGCCCTGGTACCCCCTGCCACATGGCAGCCCTGGCCACTGGAGCAGGCCAACCCCCGCCACAGCAGGTCCTGGTCCCCTACCCCAGCGGCACTCTCACCACATCATCTTAGCCAGCCCCTCCGGCTGCGTGGCTCTCCTGAGGCGGTGGGCAGAGAAGAATTTTGTTGTGCATGGTTGTGCAGGCGTGCATCTTAGCAGAAACGTGGCCCATCTGTGGATTCACCCTGATGTGCACCCCCTTCGCTACTATGCGAGGTGTATCCTGTATTCCATGCCACTGAACCATTACTGCATCTTCAACAATATCTTGGTGGCTATTCCAGTCTCCACTTGCTGACTATTTATGAAGCACTCAAATTCCCTCTAAGCTGTGCAGCTGCTTGTTAAGCCCTGTGCAGGGGCTCAGGGCTATAGTGGGGAGAGGCACCTCTCCCCGCTGACTCCAGCACGGACCTACCCTGAACTTGCTGTAGCTGGGGGAGCCCCAGCCCCACGCCAGCCTTGCCAGAGGAGGCTGTGAAGGCTAGGACTATAACAGAGTTTACAGAGAAGCTAGATAATTTCATGGAGGTTAGGTCCATAAAAGGCTATTAGCCAGGGGATAAAATGGTGTCCCTGGCCTCTGTCTGTCAGAGGCTGGAGAAGGATGGCAGGAGACAAATCGCTTGATCATTGACTTCGGTCCATCCGGTGCTGGCCACTGTCGGCAGACAGGCTACTGGGCTAGATGGATCTTTGGGCTGGGGGTAGCCCTCTTTCCCAGGGGCAGCTGGCCCCACAAACCCAAAGCCAGCATCCCCAGCTCCACCCCAGAGCCTGCACTCCCAGTCAGAGCTCTCACCCCCGCTGTCCCACCCTGAGCCCTCTCCTGTTCTCCAATCTCCTTGATCTCCATATTGGTGCACACAAGCGATTTGTTCTGCACAAGGACCACTGTGCGCCACTCATACTCTGAGTGGGACTTCACAAGACATTCTGAAGCTCAGTGTGCTGGATGGCATTTCTGCAGCACTTATGTGAAGATGACTGATTGTCTTGCTTGTTTGGTCTCCACTAACTGCATGGGTGAATATGCTCAATGCCAGTTGAAGATTGCACCCTTCCAGCCTTCTCTCTCCAAAATAAACCTAAGAAAGGCTTCCTCCCAAAGTGCAAAACGTACCTGTAGAGATTGATATCGGCAAATGATTTGCTGTTATTAATGGCAAAGACACAGAGGAAGCCTTCGCCAGTTCTCATGTACTGGTCCCGCATAGCGCTGTACTCCTCCTGCCCTGCAGTATCCAGAATGTCTAGCAAGCAGGTCTCACCATCAATAACTACCTGCTTCCGGTAGGAATCCTGAGGGAGATACAAACACAACTTCGAAAACTAAGACAAGACTTGGTGCTACGGCTGCTGCTGCACCTTACCTCTGCCTCTATTCAGGAGGCATTTCCTAGTGCACAGCGTAAAGCTGGCCGCAGTTCCACAGCTTGCTCTGCTCCCTCAAACGTTCTAAGTAAACATTTGGAGTGCAGGGCATATTGCTAGAGACCTTAATGGACATGTGAGAAAGGCCATTCACCTCTGGAAAAGCAAAATGCTGCCTCCTACCCCACTGCTGCTGTAGGGCAGGGGTGGGCAATACTTTTTGATGGGGGTACTAGGCCAAGATTTTGGAAAGTGATCAAGGGGCTGCACTTTTCTATGGAGGGGCTGTGGGGTTTGGAATGGAGGTTGGGTGCAGAAGGGAGCTGGGGACAGGGGATTGGGGTGCAGGATCTGGGAGGGAATTGTGACCTGGGGCAGGATGTGTGCGCAGAGGATTTGGGTGATGACCTGGGGAACGGAGTTAGCAAGTGGGAGGGGCTGAGGCACAGGAAGCAGGCTCTGGCCAGAAGTCAACTTTACCTTAGGTCAGGGCTACTCAACTTTGGAGCCCCGGGGGCCACAGTGACACTCACAGCACATGCTGGGAGCCACAACTTAAGTGTGGGTGCATGTACATGCAAATATCTATGCGAATAGCTTCTTTCACACTGACGGGCACGAGTGCAAAGATTAAGCCTTACGTGCAAGCGCTGGACCCAACCGTGGCCAGTGCGAGCCAGTCAGCATCTCTCAGGCTCTGCCCACAAGGCTAAGCAGCCAGCACGTCCCACAAAGTCCTGGCGCTCCTGGCACCTTCTGCCCAGGGACTAGAAACGCGACACCCTGTGCCCTCTGCCAGTGCTCACCCCGCTGGGAGGGTCCTCG